GAAGATTGGTTATCATATTACCCAGGAAACCTCCGAGTTGACCAACCATTTCAAAAACAACCGAAGAGTGATATTGACCCAACAATTGCTGCTGAGACAAAAATGGTGATGTTACTCATTCAACATAACACATTCTTTAATATATCTGATCACCTTTGTCCACTAATCAGTAATGAATTCAAGGGAAGCCAAGTCGCTCAATCATTTAGCTGCAGCAGAACAAAAACTGCAGCCATTGTTAACTGCCTGGGAGATCATTTTTTTGAAGAGCTGAAGTCCGACATGCAAGAAATGCCCTACAGCCTTATGTTGGATGGCAGTAATGACAATGGTATTCAAAAGATGTTTCCCATAACGGTACGAATTTTTGACGTGAACTTCAGTAGAATTATGATGAAATTTCTAGACCTGAATTTGCTTGAGGGACGAGATGCCTCCACAGCTGACGTGATGTTCGAAAGTGTCGACAATTTTCTGTCTGAAAACGATATTCGATGGGACCATTGCATGGCAATCGGCCTAGACAACACTAACGTTAATATAGGTGATCATAATTCGATCAAGTCACGCGCTAAAGAGAAAAATGAGGACATTGTCATCGCTGGCTGCCTCTGCCACATCCTTCATAATGCATCTGGTAAAGCTGCAACGACGTTCTCGGAAGTTACTGGCTTTGACGTCGAAGATCATTGTGTTGATGTTTTCTACTGGTTTGACAAATCGAGCAAGCGAAAAAGCATTCTTAAGGAATATTATGAATTCTGTGATACCGAGTATGAAGGAGTTATAAAGTTTATTTCAACGCGTTGGTTGTGTTTGGAGCTTTGCATCAATCAAGAGGTAAGAAAGTACGAAGGCTTGAAATCGTACTTCCTGTCTGAAAATTTTCCAGATGCACATTTTAAACGACTCCGCCGCAGCTACACGAATCCGATTACTGAAATTTACCTACTCTTTTATCAAGCCTCGCTTCCATGTTTTACCAACTTCAACAAGTTTCTTCAGCGAGAAGATCCAGTTATTTATCAGCTATACGATTTACAGCAGCATTTTATGCACAAACTAGCATCCAAATTCATCAAACCAGAAATCATCCAGAAACAGAAATTGGAAAACAAATCATTTGCGGATCTGGACGTCTCTCTTGAAAACCAGAAAGATGATATGAGTTTGGGAATTGGTCCACTTACACGGCACACACTTAAACGCCTGTTGGAAGAAGGGGAAATTGATCAAACCGAAGTCGATCAGTTCTTTGACGCAGTACAAGCCTTCTTTGTTAAAGCCTACAAATACTGTGTTCAGTGGCTTCCACTTGACGATCTGTTTATGAAGCATTGTATATTTGTCGATTTCAAAAGGCGAACTGAAGTTTCCTTTGCCCACATTGAACAGACAATCACACACTTTAAACGAATCCACGAAACGTTAATGTCAGATCCGTCAATATTAAATGCAGTTGAAGACGAATTCATCGACTACCAGGCAATGAATGAGAATGATATACCCCAAACGATTTGGGAAGCAGCAGTTGTAGGAGATATCCGAGATAATCAGCATCGCATGGATATCATCTGGGGCTATCTAAAACCTAAATTTCCTGCTCTTACAGAGATTGCTTTGTCAGTTCTTGTCATTCCTCACAGCAATGCTGGTGAAGAGAGGGTGTTCTCCACTATTCGAAAGAACAAAACTGACTTTCGCTCGCAGCTTCAGTTGGGAGGGTCATTGAATGCCATAATGCGTGTAAAAATGGCTGTTCCTGAGCAGTTGATGGCATGTTACACCTGGGAACCTTCAAAAGAATTATTGAAGAAATGCAAATCGGCAACGCGTGAATATAACGAGAAGCATAGTTCAAAGAACAAATAGATTCTGAAAGGGAAGAGCTTTTGTTGCAGCGCCAACTTAGTTCGGGGTTTCGACTGCCAATCCATGGCGGTATTAATTAATTAAATCGATTCTAAATAGGTAAAACATTAATTTGTAAAAGAAACTATAATGTTATTGTTTCATGAACGAACGGATGAATAAAGGAACGAATGAATGATGAACGAACGAATGAATGATTATGATTTACTTTAATTTCAATAAGTATTCCCATGTTATGTCACATTTTGTAAAATTAGAACAACTTTTGAACATATAAATTACTTCAATTTTCACTGGCTATTTTTTGGGTGGGGCAATGCAATAAATTATGTTTGCTGGCGGTGCTACCATAAATGTCCCCGTTTTGAGGTTCAAGAGGTTGGAATGTCTGTGCTGTTCTGGTGACCTTGCCCTAGTTGGCAAAGCTAAATAAATAAAGATACTGCCTCAATTGACCCAAAATGTTGCTAATGCCAAGCTAGGATTTTTCCATATAAACTATATACAATGACCCAGGATTTGGCACAGTATTAATGCTTTGTTTAGGCACAATGTAATCTTCTAAATGACATTTCCCAATCAAGTTGAATATTAACCCATTAAGCTGTAGAGTTTGAGTTTTCCCATTGACGAGTAAAATCATTTGGCCAGAGGTGTAACTTAACACTTGCCCGGGGCAAGTGAATATCATGATGGGCAAGTAAACACATCTTGCTTGCCCAATTGGGTAACTTGCTTTGCCACAAGAAGCCGGGCATCTTTAAGTTTATGTTTTCATTGTCGGAAATATTTTGTTTTATAGTGCATGGACTTGATTCAAATTTTGTTTTTTGTGGACCAAAGCAAGATCTGAGGCAGTATAACATAGCCATATAGAGCAGTGGGAGAACGGGTTGACATGTTGTCCTCTTAATTTATATCCCCTACCTAGGTACCCCAAGTAGCCATTGTCTGATGGCAAGTGAATTTTATTCAGAGCAACTAATTTTTATCACCAACTTGCCCCAAGGGCAAGCAGTAAAGTTAAGTAAAGTTACACAACTGCTGGTGGTAGACAAGTAAATAAAATAAGTAGGTTGCACTGGGGCACATTGCAGCTCAATGGGCTAACTAGGGACATAATTGTCAGATTTTTTGGTTAACCCATTAAGCTGCAGAGCTTCCCCACTGAGGAGTAAAATCGGTCTGGCGTTAAACAAGTAAAAAAATAAGTAGGGCGTACTGGGGCGCATTGCGGCTCAATGGATTACATTTCGAAAATGTCTGCAAAAGTGTGATGTCAGTTTACTTTATTGGAAAATGTGCTTTTATTATACAACTCAGTCTGGGTGATTTGTTTTCTTATGTAAACAGACATTCACCCAGCAAGCTATAGCCAGGTTAGTTACCTGGCTGGCTTGCCTCTATATAAGCAGCACCTTACACATGTTTTAGACCGACTGATAGGAGGGTTACCATGATAGCAATTACATGCCATACATTGGGTATTATATAATACCTTATTGAATTCTGATCGTTTAATTGGCTGTTTATGGTCACGTGATATTGAATATAAAATTCCATTTCCCAAGAGTGCAATGCATTGCGAGTGCAATTGTACTATACGTTTTATTCCATTACACTCTTTGTGTTTTCGATAAATCGCATCCGTCAAAATGCTTCTCGTACTGCGATCACAGTTTATTTTAACCCAATATTCGAAACTCAGTAAATGGGATTTAATGCCAATACGACTCGTCAAAATGGCGGGAGCTTACAGTAAACCTTTTAATATTAGTCTATTTTGGTATTATATAAAACAAATAATGAATGTTTTTATTCGTGCAATGGTAAGAATATTTTCATTCGGTGAAAGATGGAATGTTCCATTCAACTCGGCTGTCGCCTCATTGAATGGAACATTCCATCTTTCACCTCATGAAAATATTCTTACCATTGCACTCATAATTAACATTCATTATTGCTGCGGAGCGAGCGAGCCTGAAGCGAGCGAGCATAGCAGCAACCTAATATATGCAGAGAGGGGGCTTTGAACTAAATTTTATTTAGCACATGGCATTGTGGTCGTGCGTGCTTTCTATGCACAGAACACAAATTTTAAACTCCCTTGAGTCTTCGAATTTTTGTCGAATTTCTAAAGCTTTTTCAAGTCTAATGTTACGCTTACATTTGTTTTGGACTTTGGCTACTGATAGTTCTATATTTTTATAAAGTTTTGGTTTCTTAGTGTGATAAATCTGTGTATATACTATATAGTCTATATAATGTGGTAAATGCGCCTAGCAGTAAACAGACTTGATATGAAATCTGATCTTAATTTACCTTTATGTCAATGAGCACACATGTTTACTGTCGTTCCAATTGAAGTGTTGCTTAAATATTGATTCAATACATTACCTCGGGTTGACCAATTCATTTGATCAAGTTCCTCGAGATATTCATACAATTCCTGTGAAAGAGCCAATTCCAAGTATTTGATCATTTCTGGTCACTTCCTTTCTATTTATGATGGGTTAGTTGCACAAACAACAAAGGTGATTGGTGCATTCAAACTATTCAACAGGAAGTTTACAATTATACTAGGAAGTGTATGAATATCTCGAGGAACTTGATGAAATGAATTGGTCAGCCCGAGGTAATGTATTGAATCAATATTTGAGCAACACTTCAATTGGAACGACAGTAATATCTGTCACCTCTGATTGCCCTTTAACCCCTGGTCTTTGCTACTACAATATATATTGCTTCTTCTCAGTTCCATTCACAGCTCACTAGTCACTGCGAGTAATCACTGTGCTTGATAATTGATATAATTTGTGCTGTTTACTGTAGTTCTATTTGCTTTTAATGCCTGCAGCAATCCCTACCTTGCAGGTACCCTAGTTATAGATAATTTATTCACGTTTAGCCATTTAATTACTTCATTCATTTCTTCTTGCATAACATGTGTTAATGATTTTAAGCATTTGTCAGAGTGAAATGCATTAGTGTCATCAGCATACATAACAAAGGATATAATTTTACTACAGTTTTCAATATCGTTAATATATAACAGGAAAAGTAGTGGCCCAAGAATAGAGCCTTGCGGAACTCCTGTAGATATAATCAATTTGTTTGATTTATGATGACCAAATTTAACAATTTGCATTCTTTCATGTAGGTAGCTTTCAAACCATTTTAGGCAATTTCCTCTTATGCCATAATGTTCAAGTTTTTTTAGGAGAATATCGTGGTTAACTGTGTCAAAAGCCTTAGATAGATCAAGGAAAATACCAATTGTATATTTACCATCATCTATAGCTTTTGAAATTTTGTCAGTTAGTTCAATTATAGCATGTTCAGTTGACCGATTTTTCCTGAAACCATATTGATGTTTAGATAAAATATTATGTTTTTCAATATATGAAATTAGTCTTTTATGCATTATTTTTTCAAGTAGTTTTGAAAAACATGTGAGAACTGAAATTGGTCTGTAATTTTCAAACAGGTATCTTTCATTTGCTTTAAAAATAGGAGTAACGATAGCTATTTTTAGTGATTCCGGGATTACTCCGGTATCAAACGTTAAATTGAAAATATGTGCAAGAGGTTTGCAGATTTCTTGTTTTATAGTTTTTATCATTTTGGCACTTATATTATCATGTCCTGCACTTTTATTTGTATTTAAGTTATCAATCTCAGTCAGTATTTCAAGTTCAGTAACAGGCTCAGCAAACATACTCTCTCTATAGTTTCCTTTGAGATATTTTTCAAATGATACTGTATCATTTTTTCGAATACCTTTTGCCAAATTTGGACCAACATTTACAAAATATTCATTAAATTTGTTAGCAATTACGGTTGGGTCAGAAAAATTAATATCTGAGTTCTTTTGTTGAAACACGTGAGAAAGTTTTTCCTTCTTTTTATTTCTATTCAGTAGTTTATTTATTGTTTGCCATGTCATTTTACTATTGTTTTTGTATTTAATAAATTGATTTTCAAAGTAATCTTTTTTACTAATTTTAATTAAATGTTTTAATTTATTTTTGTAATTTTTGTAAATAGTTTTGTTCTTTTCACTTGGGTTTTTTAGACACTTTTTATAGAGTCTGTTTTTAATTCCAATAGACTTAGAAATACCTTGAGTCATCCAAGGGCTTTTATCGTAATTAATTATATTTCGTTTTTGCCGTTTTACTAAAGGAAAGCTTTTATCAAACGCTTGTATTAGTTTATTATGGAAATTCTTGTATGATTCAGAGGGGTCATTGTCTTCAACAATAATATCCCATGATATATCTTTCACAGAATTAGAAAATAATAGAAGACTGGCATTATTAACTATTCTTTGATGTTGCGAAGTTTCAACTTTAGAACTGTACATTTTCGTTGGGAAAGATGCAATATGAAAAATTGGAAGATGATCTGATATATCACTAAAAACTAATCCATTCTTACTGGATTCAATTTGTTCTAGGTCATTAGTGAATATATTGTCAATTAATGTTGCGGTATGTTCAGTTATCCTAGTTGGTCTTGTAATAAGAGGCAAAAATGATGACATAAAAAGTTGCTCACTGAATCTATTCGAAAAGTCACAACTTTCAGTTTTTAAGAGGTCAATGTTAAAATCGCCCATTAAGTAAGTTATTTTTTTTTACTTATCAATTTTAGTAAGAATTTTGCTTAAATTCGTTTCAAATATTTCAAACTTTCCTTTTGGTGGTCGATAGATCTTGCCAACAACAATATTTTTGCCAACTGTTGTAATTATTTCAACGAAGAGTGATTCAATTATTCCCTCTTCGTTGAAATTAAAGTCAGGACGAAGTTTGAAATTTATATCATCAGAAATAAACATTCCAACTCCTCTGTCTTTTTTATTGTTTCTGTTTGAACTAATGAAGCTACAATTTTCTAACTTAAAATCTGTATAGTTTTCATCATCAAGCCATGTTTCTGTTAAACTAATTATCGAAAATGAGTATAAGTGATTCTAACAAAAATTTGAAAGAGTCAAATTTGTTTACTATACTTCTTATGTTTAAATTCAAAATAGAAAATAGGTTATTATTGCTATTTGGTATGTCACACGAAACATCATTTGGAAGGTAGTATTTGCATGTAATATTATCAATGTTAGGAAGCATTTTGTTGTCGTAATCAACATTATCAGTAGTTGTGTGTGAGTTATCAAAAGGGTTAAATTTAAGTTGCATCAATCTATCCTAACCTCATCACTGGGAAGTCGAGAAAAATCTCCAAAAGTAAAGTTAAAGTTTATATCATCTATTGAGCTAAAAGGTAGCGAGTTGCTTAAGCACAAGTGGCATGTTTCGATTTCCGTTTGTTGACACGTGAGAGGCGATTTAATGCAGATATTCTTAGCATGAAACCACCTCCCACACAGCACACAAACAATGCCGTGTTTATCAATGGCTATTACATGCAAAGCATATTTTTTTGTTTATGTTTATAGAAGCCATTTAATTTTTTTATTCAATTAGATAATAAAATGCGTACTAAATATAATTGAGTGATATTACCTTTAGTTATTATGGGGAATAAACTCCACATTGTTAATATAAAGTTTATCACGAACCAAACGCACTCTCTGCTTTGTGTCGCCTTTGCTCTCCTCATCTCAGGGTAGAGGGTTTGACACACTTTTTCAGTCTCTTCGGGAAACTGTTCGGAGATACCGATCTTTGTTCCCCTTAATTTTTTCGCATTGAAGCGAATTTTCTCCCGATCGGGGAAAAAATAAAATTTTGCAACAATAGCTCTCAGTTTTCTGCGGCCATCGCGTTTCCTACCAACTCTGTGCGCTCGATCGATCTTGATGCTGCTTCTTGCTTCTGGCATATCAAGTTTTTCCTCCAACAAGCTATAGATCACTTCAGTGCAATCTTCCTCTTCTGCTTCATCAATATTGTGGAACAACAGGTTGTCCCGCATTGATCTCGCTTTGAGGTCGACCACACTGTCTTGTAACCGCCGATTCCAATCTTCCAGTTCCTTGATCTGTGAGTAGTTTTCTCCCTCCGTCTCCTCTCTTTTCACCATTTCCTCCTTCAAATCACTAATTTCTCCATGCGCAAACTCGATTGATTCTGTTAGGCTTTTTACATTTTGCTCAACAGATAATATACGCTCATTAATCAAATCAAGCGTCTCTAATTTCACTAGCACAGTCTGCATCATTTTGTAAAGCTTGCCAATCTTGCTCACTTCGTCTATACTTTCTACTTTTGTTTCCTTCATTGCCTTAGGTGTCACATTATCACTCTTTTTAGCTTTATTTGGTGAGTTTTGGACAGATTTATTTGGCACGTATTTACCACAATGGATGCAAATTGGCACAAATCCGCACGAATAGTATAACTTCATAGCAGTCATGATCTTTTATGTACACATGTATACCATGTGGCATCTGTATGTCATCTAAAACAATAGAATTTATAAAAATATTTATAGAGTATAATAGTTCATTAATTTATACCAGTCAATCCAAATATTTACACAGAATACGCTTTCATACCAAATATGAGACCACAACTGTAAGAGATGCTATCAAATAGATCTTGAAGGGTTGCCTTTTGTCTCTTCGTCAGCTTTTTCTTTGCAAATACCAGACGCCATTTATCACACTCTTCACACTGCAGCGTCATACTTGTGTTTTTCATCATGCTGAACCGATGGCGAGAAGTTCATTTTCTTTCTTTGAGAACTAGTTCTGGATGTTGCACTGGGACGATTCTATAATAACAGAATTTGATTAACAATCTTTCTAAGCAAAAAAAATGTTTTAAATGTTCGAAAAGCTTGGATGACTGTCAAAAAGAAAATGTGTATTAGAGACAAAGTTTACTTGACAATATAGATATAGTGACATACAAAGTTTGCAGTACATACATCTTTGGTTTTTGTGCCATATACCTCATCAAATGGCTTATAATGACCGTTTCCAGCATCCACTGGGAATGGCAAGTTCTTCACCTCCTTGGACCTCTCAATGGTCTACCAAGGAAGTCAAATGGCATTTAAATAAAAAAGATTAGATCACTAAAGTTAAAGTCCATAGAATGCATGTAGACCCAAACTGCTTACCTGCAAATCTTACAGTTTGGTTCACCACACTTCCTGATTTGGAAACAGTAGTGACTTTCTATGCAACAGTGGCTTAAGAACTCTTGAAAATTAACCCATTAAGTGCCAGCACTCTCCCCTTGACAAGTAAAATCGTCTGGCATTAGACAGAGTAAAATACTAAAGTAGGGTCCAATGCGCCTCAATGGGTTAACTTAAATCTTTACAGTCCTTCTTAGTTGTTTTGTTTCTCTAAAACAGATAAGAAAACACGTTTAAACTTTATGTATTTATACCTTCACATATTTAAATGTATTATCTATACCCATTCGTCTGTGTACAGTAGCTATCCAAGTACCTGCTGTGTGTATGTATCTGTCTATATTTACCTGAATATCTTTCTCAATTTCAACACACTTGTTCCATAGAACATCTATGCTATCCTCAGCAGCAGGCTGAAATACTTTGGATAGCTTATCTTTCAAAGATAGACGTAACATTTGTCCACGCAACAAATCTAAAAGCTCCTCTTTTCTTTCAACTGTGTTGATCACATCGCATATTTCTTTCACACTATTGGCTTTGGCTGAAATTGATAATTATGGTGCATGTAACATGCTTAACTCAGAGATCCCAAGGATAGTGCAAAGTTGATATGACAAATGATATTTAGGATTTTAATATGTTGATTCGCATAATGATTAATGTATGAACTGATAGGATTGATGCATCTATAAGGAAGTTGTTTGGCGTTTGTTTATATATTACAAGCCACGACAGTAAATTTTGTTGTTTTCGCATGGATGATTTTCCACGGCTTAATCCCTTGAATGGTGGCTTTAGTCCAGA